TTCAATAAGTAACTTGCCTTATGCAGATGTATGCTGCATTAAAACATACCTGTAGATGTTGAAAAACCTGATGCACATTTCTTGGAGATAATAATCAAGGGGCCAATAGAAACTCTTTGCCTCAGTGCTTCTTTTTCCCTCTAAGCTCTTTCTGTTGTTTACAGAGGGCAAGGCCTTTTTTTTTCTTTCTTTCTTTTGTTTGTAGTCAGCGGCGGATGTGGAAAATACTGTCGCTAAGGCAAGCGGCAACCCCCCCCCACTTCCTGTCTGCAAGAAGTTCCTTCTCTTACCATTTCCTCTCACTGTCTCTCTCTCCTTCTCTCTCTCTCTCTCTCTCTCTCTCAATGGAAACTTTACTGTTCTTCCTGCTCTCCGCTTGTCATCCAACTGGTCTGGGGATAGAGATAGGAGAGACCGCCGGAGAGCAATGAGCCAGAAAAAGATGAGAGAGAGACAGAGAGGCCAACTTTGAGGGAAGTTTTAGGCAGAGAGAGAGAGAGAGAGAGAGAGAGAGAGAGAGAGAGAGAATTGAAACACCTTCTTGAATTGTATTCCAGTTTGAGTTTTTCTTATTTAAGCGAAATGAGCTATTGTCCAAGGAAGCAAAGGTGCCGGAATAACAAGACCTGTGTCTAAACATTAAACATATTAAGGACTTTTTCCCATTTTTTCCTGTGGGTGTCTGATGATTGAAATTTAAAAAAAATTAAATAACGCATGCACTGATATGGAGAAAAAAAAAAAAAGAGACACTGACAATACCAAATTAAGGCTTTCTGTTTATTTAGATGAATCATGTAAGTCTGTCAAAGTTAGGTTTTATACTGGGAAGGAACGAACAGCAGCAAATTTAAGAGAGAAAAGGTAGAAATATCTCTTAGAAGACTATTCTGTATATTAGAAGAGGAGAGATATCTAGAAAACCATTTGTGCTCTTATTGGCGAGCTGGATTCAGCTGTGAAGGCAGGGTCAAGATTGTGAATAGCTGATTTTCATGCATGGCTTCCTGCTTTGAATCTGTACTGTGATAAAAGTAAATTAAAAGTGTGTCTTTCCTTTGACCTATTGTTTGTCCTTGAAATAATTTGTAAAAAACAAAACACATTGCACATCGTCAAAATGTTTCTACAATTGCAGATATTTGTATTTATATATATAAATATATATATATTATTTGTATATTTATTATCTACATGTCACACATTTAGACACATTTCATGCAAATTTTATCTTCTCACAAAAGGCGTTTGTCATCTGCCAGCTGTGAAAGTATCTCAAGCATTGTAAGAATATCTTTCATTTTTAAGCAACACACTGTCAGTATATCCATGTAAAATCACCTGTAGATAATGTTAAAAATGCATTTATGTGCATGGTTAGTTTTTACTTTATTAAAGCTCAGATGTAACAAGCTGAAGGTACATCGTGGTCGAGTGTGTGGGAGCTGCTGTTTAGGTTTCCTTTTGCTATTTTAGCTTGTGTTGTAACTTCTGTCATAATCTTTCTATCGCACATACTCAAGACAAACATTTACACATACACTTACACAAATCTGAATGCAAACATAGACACATAGAAAAACACGTGTGAACGTACAGAGTTAGTTTGCTTTGTCCACAATAAGCAATGTACATTCTCCCTGTGCTTCGTGCATTCACGCCCACACGCACAAACACACACACACACACACACACACCTAGCTTCGTCTGTATTGCGACCTGAGTGCAGATTTGCATGTCCAGATATTGTTTGTCCCTCTGTTTTGCCAATCAAATTATTCGCAATTGTTTATCACAGCACACACTCAGAGACACACAGACACACGCGTGTAAATCTTTTAAAGAGGAGCGTTCGAGCCTGAGTTTTTAAAGCAGACAGAGGCAGAGCTGGTGTGAGTTTCTCAGGAGAGGTGGACAGATCTTGTCAGGTTGTCACCTCCGTGGCTGACAGAAAGCCCATCAGCCATGATGTGGTCGGCATGGTTGTATTCAGTGTGGAGTGTTGTTGTGTCAGTTGGAGCCATCTTTATCATTACCATCATCCACCTCCGCACCAGCCAACGTCAGGTACTTTTATTTCAGGCTTGCAGAATGCCTTTTACGCCTGGATTTAGTCCTTGTTTAGTGATGTTTGACATTTAGAGCTAGATTTTACTGAGCAATGATAATGCTGGCAACAGTTATTACTTTTTTCATTTTTATTGCAGGCAAATCAAACTTCTCCTCCTCCTCTCCTCTGATTGCATTTTAATGTCTCTACCTCCTAAATCTACACACTGTGACGTCTGTTATTATTCACACTTGAGATAGACCAGACTTTCTCTTTTCTTTCTTGCCCTCCACAGTGCACACACACACACACACACACGCCAGCTGTAAGTGGGCAACATGGTAGATGGATGACAGTCTGAGTTGACGGAGAAAGTGCAGACCCTGGCTACTTACCAAACTGTAGCCTGATACACTTGCTCTCTTGCTAACTGGCTAGAGATGGTGGAAAAATTGAGAAGGGGAATACCATTCAGTTTAACTGATTTGTGCCCTTCTGGTGGTCTAAAAAGCCTCACCAGTATTTTATTTCCTATAACCAGAAGCTGGAAACAGTGATTGAAATCTGTCCGCTGATCGAAATGTGTCAAATTCAAATGCTAATACCGGTGTTTGTTTGAGTTTTTTTTGCCTTTTTTAATTATTTAAACCTTTATTTATTCAGGGAACGCTGGCAGTGCATATGTTTCTAGTCGTACCTACACATTAACACATGGAAAGTCCCAGTCCCTTTTGCCTCCAGGCCACCATCAACTCATTTTATATTGTATTGAACTTCCATTAGAAAGCATTCTGGTTATAGAATAAGTTGAAACAGAATAATAGTAGGTTACAGAATCACAAAAGGATTTGTACCTAAGAAATTAATTCAGAAGACTTCTAGAATGACTGAACCTTGGTTTTCAAACGGCAAATGCTAATAATTGAATGAAATCCCCGGGTCAAGCCTCTTTCCGTGTGAGACTCATTTCAGCTGACCCACCTTGCAGTTAGTTTCCACCATGTGATCACCACACGTGTGTGTGTGTGTGTGTGTGTGTTTTACTTTTTGTAGGGGGTGAGTTTTTTTTCTCTCTCATTCAGTGGTGCAGAGAAAACCCTCTCATGTGATCCTTCACAGGGAGAGAGATGAGAAAGTGTGTGTGTGTGTGTGTGTGTGTGTGTGTGTGTGTGTGTGTGTGTGTACGCGCGTGCATGCATCTAACCAAAGATAGTCATGCTATCATCTGATGAATTTTCATCAGGTCCAGATTATGTGACATGGGTTATATATCTCCTTCTATGGTCCTCTTCTCTCTTATCTTATCCTTCCTCTCCTCTCCTTTAAACTCTCTTCCCTGGTTATTTGTAGACATAATATTATTTCTACTGGTATTTGCAGACCAGAGGAAATATCAAGTGTGGATCACACCATTAACATGAATAGAAGAGAGCTTTTGCCCCACTGTATGATAGGGCATTTCAGCATAAGTATTGTCTTACACAAGAATTACTGATCAGCTGTGATCATTCAAGCGTGGATTTGACATATATTATAGTGTAAATTGGGTTCAAGTGTCTCTGTTTTGTGTTACAATAAATTATGAAAGCTGTACGAAGCATTTCTGTTGTGTTTTTAAGGGGAAACTCCTCACAACATTTCAAATTTTTCTGCTGCATCCACTGGGAACTCTGTCACAATGTTGCACAGCCAAGCATTGTTTAAACCCACAGAACAAGACATCTGCAGTTTTTCCATCTGATGTAATGCTGGAGGAATAAAAAACTTTTATTCTTTCTTTTGAATATTGTACTCAATAAGAGTGTGATTTACCATACTGTAGCTTCAGTGAGGTGTTGCAACATGCAGCCCAATTAGCACATAATAATATTAGGAGGATATTATGGCTTATAGGGATAAGAGGGGCTTAGTTTTTAAGGAAACCATAAGCGACAAATCAAGAGTGGTTTTATTTATTATTTATTCAGGGAAAAGTAGCTTTTTACTTTACTTTACTACTTTTTACAAATATTTGTCCTTGTTTCTAGTAAACATTATTGTTAGGGAACATACGGGACCTTTATACAGTTTAACATGCAGCAGTTAAATATTGATGTATTTGAAAGGAATCTTTCCATCACAAAGACAGAAAACTGGAGCCGGAGATATGGGAGAACTAGACTTCAATCAGTCTAGACTTCAACTTGCTGTGTGTGTTTGTGTGGCGGAGACAGAATAGGTCTCAGTTTGTGAATGAGTTTGTGTGTGTTTGTTTGTGTGTGTGGCAGGAGTCCCGCAGTTCAGTATATCCTTGCCAGGGACAGGGAGCGCCCTTGGAGAAACTGTGTGTGAGTGCGTGCGAGTGTGTTACCAGGGGAAACCCCAGCTCGATCCTCCAGAGTTTAGTTTAAGTGTTCTAAAACAGCCAAAGAAGAAAAAGAGAGGCTGTGGGAGAACCCGGCAAAGGCAGATTCAAAACAGCTCCCCCAGGGTCAGGGATGCCCCACAGTGTGTGTGTGTGTGTGTGTGTGTGTGTGTGTGTGTGTGTGTGTGTGTGTGTGTGTGACTTGTTTTGCTCATTGCCATTAAATGAGCCAGTCAAAAGGCACCGGATCAGCCAAAAGTTTCAGATGAGAACTACTACTACTGGTTCTCTTGTTTCCTGGGTGATTTTAAGATGACTACACACTGCCACCTGAGGGACTGAACATTTAGACTCGCACAAGTTCATGTTTGAGGAAGTTTGCATGGAGTTGGTAAACTCTGCCGCATATCATCATCATATGTTAGGTCTTCAAATGGGATCCAAATTGTTTGCAAATCAGAAAGATTAAAAAAAATTGATGATAGTTTGATTTAAACATGTTTATGGATGATGAATCTTAGAACAATGACCAGGAATATCTATCATAATAAACTATGGTGAAATATCATTCTGAATCACTTATATTGTGTGTGTTTGTGTTTGTAGCACAAGTCTTGGAAGAAGATTAAGAACATGGTCCACTGGTCACCGTTTGTCATGTCCTTCAAGAAGAAATATCCCTGGATACAACTGGCTGGGCACGCAGGTATGTGGACACACAAATCACATGGTTTATTAGAATAAAAACATTAAATGAGACAGGATTCAAGGGCAGTGGTTATCAACCTTTTTAGTGTCATAAGACCCCCAAATTGATACACATCAGGCCACAGATCTGTAATTGATAAGATGTAGTCTCAGGGATCCCTGTCTAATAAGATTTAGTTATTCCATAACTGTTTATACTACAAATTGACAGATTAACAGTGAAAAGTGTGAAACAGAATAGTCCTTCTTATACATTCTTTCATTGGGAGTTTATACTTATAAATATTATATAACTTATAGCCAATGAAATAATAGTGAAATATTCCCAATTTTTCTGGAGTCCCCCTGGGAAGACCCCTGGTGCTCCCAGTTATTGTATCTTACTACTTCCTGCAGCTGCTTCACAAGTGCTTCTTTTTACAGGGAGCTTCAAGGCGGGAGCCAACGGCCGTATATTAAAAGTAAGATTCCCTTTCACACCAAACTCACCTTCTTTGTCGTCACATAGAAAGTTGCTTTGATGCATTCTGGCTTTGACCGAATCAGTGTAGCCAAGGGTATAGAATGAGAATAACTTGTTGTTGATGTCCTTTAGAAACACTGTGATTGTGAGCAGCGCTGTTTGTCCCTCCTGATGAGGGATGTGCTGCGCCCATACGTCCCTGGTTACCACGGAGACGTAGAGAAGGACGGCCAGAAATACAACCAGATGGAGGATCTGTTGGCAGAGTTTGACTACCCGTGTGTGATGGACTGTAAGATGGGAGTGAGGTGAGCAGACACATGACATCACATAAATAATTGATAGAACTGAACTTCAGAAAACATCGACTTTCATGTAACTATTTCTGTGTTTCTTTGATGTGCAAGGGTTGCATTTGTTATTTTCATAGCCTTGGCCATTATTTCTGTTGATAATGATACTATTATACTGGCAAAAACAATTGCTTAGATCTGGAAATAGGGCGACAACACTACACCAAGGTGAGACAGGGCAAGAAACCCAGGCTTTTAACCCTTTACTTGGAGTTAAAACCCGAAGTGTGAGCACCTGAAATGTCTATAGTAATCCCTCATTGCACACGAAAAGTGTGTTACTATGGCAAGTCCTTTAGGTCAAAGTTGAATAGAATAGCAGCCAAAACTGCAAAAATAAGTTACAAGAATGATCCTTTAACAGGCATTAAGCAGCATAAAGCTCTACATTAAACTAAGCACAACTGTGTTTAGCTGTGTCATCATACTGCTTAGAAAGAGAATTTCTTCACACCTTCTCTACCTCATCCTCCTTCCTCTCTGTCTGTCACATACCTTATCTTCTTATGTCTTTTTCACCCACCCACCACCTGTTTTTTTTTTTTTTTTAATCACGCTTAAGGACCTACCTCGAGGAAGAGCTGACCAAGGCTCGTAAGAAGCCCTCTCCGAGACCCGACATGTACCAGAAAATGATCGAGGTCGACCCTGAGGCGCCTACGCCGGAGGAAAGCGAGCAGAAAGTGGTGACCAAACCTAGATACATGCAGTGGAGAGAGACCATAAGCTCAACAGCCACCCTGGGATTTAGGATAGAGGGAGTCAAGGTAAGACTCACAAAGAGATAGGTGTGTGTGTGTGTGTGTGTGTGTGTGTGTGTGTGTGTGTGTGTGTGTGTGTGTGTGTGTTTGTGTGTGTGCAGCCTTCCTTCCCTCCTTTCTTCCAGTGTTTAGTGTGTGGGGTGCGTGTGTGTCCTTTAAGGGGCATGATCTAACTTCCTGTTTTGAACAGAAACTTCCTGAAGTATATGTTTGTGCATGAGTTCCTTTGTCATACATGAGGCCTGTCCGTGGCAGCTCTATATGCCTCAGCATCTGGCACTGACATTGCGCCCACAGACACACACACACACACACACACACACACACACACACACACACACTCACAAATCTCTTGGTCTCTGCTGTCTTTATTTGAGGGTTGTGGCTATATAAGGACATTCACGGCCTCCTGGTGGTCCGTTGCCATGACACTGAGGGCTATCCCCAGAAACAGAGATATGTGTGAGTGTGTGTGTGTGTGTGTGTGTGTGTGTGTGTGTGTGTGTGTGTGTGTGTGTGTGTGAGAAGAAGTGTGGATGCGCAGTTCATGCGGTTAAGGTTTTTGTAAATGTATATCTATGTAACTGTGTATTATATAGATTGTGTTAGCTCTTATGGATGTGGAAAGTGTTTGGTATGCTGTCTGTATGTGTGAAAGAGAGAGAGAACGAGAGTGAGAGAGTGGGAGAGAGAGAGAGAGAGAGAGAGAGAGAGAGAGAGAGAGAGAGAGAGTCCTAGCTGTACTCAGACCTGAACCATAAAGGGAAAAATAGTTTTGGCTCCAAATAGTACCTTGTTGCCTGGCAGCCAGCAGAATAAGAAAAGCTCATTTATTCCACTCGGAACCAAGTGGTTGGTTCTCACTGTTGGTACTGCTTCTGTATTTAATCTACTATACTACCGTTACTACTGTATGTGTACTACTGATATTAATGCTACAACTCCAGTAATTGTTCCACTACTACTATTGTTCCACTCCTACTTCTACTCGTGCTACTACAACTACTAGTTCTTCCACTTTGCTATTACCAGAGGCAGAGAGTAAGTGTAATATGCTTTGCTATGCTAGTTTGCTTGATTATTTCCTTTTTGTAAGACTTTACACTTTGACTCCACAACAGGGAAATAACTTGAAAACACCCGAACACTGCTTACTGCTGAAAAAATATTATTTTATTATTTATATTTATGACATTTCGGTCTGTACGACGTTCATCAGGTATCTGGTACCTGGGTTTTGAACTGTTGTGCGGACAAAAAAGCTATTTGAATTTGTCACTGAGAAACTGGGGTGGCCATTTTTCACTATTTTCTGAAAGTGTATAGTTTACAGTAACCGGTCATACATTAATAAACAATAATGAGAATAATAATAAATAGATGAATAATAACAACAAGTTCATGAGCTCAAACAAGTGTTTCTGTATATGGCTGCGGTTAGTAAAACTAAAAGTCAAAGACCTTTCCCTGCTTTAAGGCTAAATCTCTAAAAATATCTTGTGCTCCTTCCTTCTTTTCCTCCCCTCATTGTTTGTTCTGCTTTTCTTGTCCAGCCTCTCTTCTGCTCCTTCTCCTTCCTCCCTTCCCATCCTTCCCATCTCTACAAGAATCCTAGAGGTTGTAGTTTATGAAGACAGAGAGTTGATATACTACATATAAACATTTATTTCCCCTCATGATCCCTAAACATATATTTTCTCCTCCCCTCTCATCTCCTCCTTTCTCCTCTGTAGAAGGAGGACGGGACAGTGAACAGAGATTTTAAGAAAACAAAGACGAGAGAGCAAGTTACTGCAGCCTTCCACGACTTCGTCAAAGGAAATAAGGACATACTGGTGAGTGTGTTTCTAGTGAACTGTGTGTGTGTGTGTGTGTGTGTGTGTGTGTGTGTGTGTGTGTTTAGGTTTGTGTGTGTGTGTGTGTGTCAACAGCCTTGACCACTGTATGGGACAAAAAAACAGATGAGGAATGGAATTTAAAGTTGTTGAAGCCCATGGGAATCACACACACACACACACACACACACACACACCACAAACCATCCAAGTGTACACAAATACACAATGTGACCCAAAGCTTCCTGGGCCAGAAGAAAAGGGAACTCCCTGGGCCTCTTTACACACATATGCACAGTGTTAGTATTTGATAGCAGTGTGTACTTGTGTATGCTTGTTTTTGTTTTAATACATCATGATTGAAGGCTGTTAGTTTTCAAAAATAATCCTACACCAATGTTTTAATTGTAAACATTGCTTATAAAAGCTCCACACTGAGTGCAGTTAAATGTTCCACCAGCAGTCCAGTTCAAATACAGACAACATATCTGGCAGCATCAGAAGTGGGGAGAACTGGGTGAACAAAATATAAAAGCCTGTGTGTGTTTTTTATTCCAGACCAGTTATCTAACCAGGCTGGAGGAAATCAAAAAAACTCTGGAGATCTCCCCATTCTTCAAAACCCATGAGGTAAAGACACACGTCAAGTGATGGAAACTGCTGGTCTCTGCAGTGCTGCTGCTCTAAGACAAACAGAATTGACATAAAACTGATCTTATCAGTTGTTTACTCATTTAAGTTTGAAAGTAAAACTTTACACACAAAGACATGTGAAAATGTGCATGAGAACTTTATTCTGACCTTTTAAGTCTGTGTGTGTGTGTGATGTAGCAGATGCAATGTTATTTTTAGCTTTGTTGCTTTTTTCTGCACTGTTTATTTGTTTATATATTGTATAGTAGCATGTAAAGTGAGTACACCCTGATAGGGTTTACATGTTTTCTTTATATTAACTTTAATCAAACCACATGTACCACATAGCTTGAATCAGTCCTGGTTCACGTGTATTTTGTGTCACTGCACATCCAAATTGTAATTTATTGATTTAATAATTAAATGTAGTTGAGTGACACTAACTCACTAAAGCACACAGACCAGTGTGCACACAGGTGTAGCAGGTCTCGTCATGGAAATTGGACAGCAACAGCCCAGACCACACATGCACACATTCAGTTTCACACTCACACACGCGCACACACACCAACAGTCGGATAAACATACCAGAAGACATGAATTTGGTGTAACAAAACAGGAAGTGACATGTTTTTGAAGGACACAAACAAATGTATAGTTAAAAAAAAGAAAGAAAAGACTGTTGTGTAGTTATTTCCTGCCTCCTTATTCATCCCATTGTCTTTCTGTGGCTCTGCAGGTTATTGGCAGCTCTTTGTTATTCGTTCACGACAGCAAAGGACGGGCCAAAGTCTGGATGATCGACTTTGGGAAAACCACGCCTCTTCCTGAAGGGGATGAACTTACCCACCGAGCATCGTGGGTAGAGGGCAACAGAGAAGATGGTTACCTTTTTGGACTTGATAGTTTGGTGAACATCATTTCATCCATGGTAAACTCTGAGACTTGAAGTCTGAGCGAACATTCGGACACACGACAACCACTTCCATTCATTCTTCCAACACTTTGGACTTCCTCAAGGATTCCTTAACAGTTCTCATGATGGAAACCACATCATACCATAACAGTGTGTGGCCAAATCCATTCATGGATGCAACCTGTCTATTCATGTACAGTGGATTTCAGGATCTTGCTCTTCCCCATCCATATCCCATTGTGATGTGATCCTTATATCCTCAAGACCAGGCCGTAATAGGCCTTTTTCACAGCAGACAGTTTAACTTGTCATAGCAGGAAAAACACAGACAGAACGAATAACATTAACAACCCCTCAGTTCCCAGTAAGCTATCCCTGTGAGCCAGCATGCACAATATCATTCATGTTATTTGTTCCCACTTTGTTTTTTCTACTATAACATGTTGCAATGTCTGCTGTGAAAAGATGCATTATACCTTTTTACTGCAAGAATTCTCCACTTAAAAGCAAAACAATTTGAATATACAAATTAAAGGCTGTTATTGTACTCAAATCCCATAAGAAGACCTAAAACAATAATGTGTTAGTCTGTATAGGTGATATTTGCCAGCCTGTCTGTCTCAGTCCACTGAAGACGTACATAAGATTAAGAACTATATTGTAGATAAAAAATATATGGTTTCATTTTTTTTTTAAAAGGCTACATAATTTTCAAAATCAGCGGGGCACTGTAGTTTGTAGCAAACATTATTCAAGCAGGAATATAATAGTTCATCTTAAAGCTAATTTGCATCTACAGTCCCTTGGCAGGTCTCTTTCTTACACATTGTATTTGGTGCAAAAAGAACAACAACTTTGCCTGTGTTCATTGTAATGAATGAATATGTCACTCAGTTTAAAAGTGTGGCTCCCTGATGTGTTTTTAATTGAGCTCTATGGCACAGAGGAGTGAGCAATATCAGACCTTAGATACACAGAAAATACTAAAACATATTGTATTAATAACATATACTAATACTAAAAATAACACACAGATCAATTCATTGTTGGTTTTGGAGGGATTCATGGGATTTGTTGACAATAATATATATATATATATATATATATATAGCAGATTCAGCAGAATTAGCCCTACTTGTGGTATCAAAAATACACTGTAATTGTCCAATTTTTCCACAAACAAAAAAAGTAGTGGGTTTAAAAATGAACGTCCAAAATCTCATATTTGACATTCAATTTGGGCACACCCTAGCTCCCATATCTTTTAAACAGTAACTTAACTTAGATATATCTATTCAATGAGATTCGATTGTTTTTCTTCCTCAGCATCTGAACTTGATTGTATTGGTTTTTATTGTCTGTTTGACCACAACTTCAGCACATTGCCCATTTCTTAAAAAAAACAAAACAATCTGCACTTAGTTAAATGTCCACTGTTAGATACTGTACAGTTGAGTGTGTTTTTACCCATGAAAACAAGTTTTAAGGTGTGTTTTATGGTGGAAAACAAAACTAGTCTTTTAGCCGTTTTTCACCTCTGTCACACGCAGAGTTTAGATACTGTAGGTTGGTCAGTGAGGTTTTTCAGTGGCATGTTTGCTCCACAATAATCTGGCTATAACTGGCAATTATTTGGAGCTAAATTATACATCTCACGGTAGTATTGGTATGTTGTGGAGGGCATTGTTTCATTTGTAACATATTTGCAGTCAACATGGCGTCCATAGTTCTTCCCTGGCCAAACACTTATCACCCTTCTCACACTTTGTTGTGATTGTTCACAATGTACAGTAAGATTTATTATGTTTGATGTAGTTTTTGTAACATTATTTTTAGTGTACTCGAATCCTGTGCAACACTTACAGCCATGAACAATTGTATTTAAGCTATACAGTGCCTTGACATTACAAAGCCAAGTCAGACAACTGAAAATATGTTCTTACTTTTAAATGTTTTATGAATTCTCTCTTAGTCTTAACTGTTGGTTTCTGTGCTTAGTCTTACATGGGTGCATGTTTATTATCCTCTTAAAGTTTGGGCTTAATTTGTATTTCATTATGTTTTTATTTATAACATTATATTATGTTTTAGTTTTTTAGTTAATGGAATACTGTGACATTTTGAATTTTGGGCTGTTATGTTGTTTTGTCATTTTGAATTTTGGGCTGTTATGTTGTTTTGTCTTCAAGCGTGTGTTACAGTATGAGTGAAAGTCAAACTGTGGGACGGGACACTGACATTGTGGACATTATTCAGATTGATGATGTTCAGATAATGCTACCCATTCCCCATTAAAACAGGGAATGCAAACAGTCACTTAGAAACTGGTTGGGAAGATAAGGGAGAAAACAAATGTCTCATTATGTAACAGGTTCTTGATGAACAATGAAAACTTAACAGTATGTAGGTCCCGCTCTACCATATATTTAACATACCATGGTTTTCAGTAGATGTTTGCAGTGACCGTAGATGGAGAAAGAGAGTGATTGTAATTCCATTTAGTGCCTTCTGTAAAGAAGTAGTTTAACATTTTGGGATTTAGTTCGGACTATTTATTCGTTTTTTTGCTAAGAGTTAGATGGTAAGATTGATACCGATCTTATGTATGTACGCTAAATATGAAGCATCTGCCGGCAGAAGGTTAAATTAGCTTAGCATAAAGACTGGGGGGACATTAAGAAGCTTTAGAGATGCGGGTGGTCCGATTTTGTTACCTTTGGATAGAGGCTAGCCTTTTCCCCTTGTTTCCAGTCTTTATGCCAAGCTAACCAGCTGCTGGCTGTAGCTTAATTTTTAACTCTCAGAAAGAAAGCAGATAAGCCAGCGTAATTCCCAAAGTGTCAAACTATGCCTTTAAGACCAACAATCTTGGCTATTGCTTATGCTCCCCGATGTGCACTTATGGTTGTTTGTTAGTAGGTATAATATTGTTCTGGTTTTGCCGGCTTGTGTATTTATTTGGATTGTTCCTTTATAAAAGTGTGTATTTGGTGAACAAAAAAAATCCTGCCTACATGTGTGATTTCTGTTAAATTCTGGTATATTTAAGGGTCTATCTATCTATCTATCTATCTATCTATCTATCTATCTATCTATCTATCTATATCTATATCTGTCAAATGTCAAGGAAATCAAAGCAATCAATATTAAAACTTGTAGGAAAATGGTTTGAACAGACATCATATGATATCTGCAGACAGGGAACCGACACAGCCCAGAGCTCATATTTCATCCGTGTGGACACAACCTCTCGTCCAAACCTGAGAAGCCTGCAGTGACCCCATGCTGCTGGTGTTCCTTGGCCACATTAATTGTTTGCATGGGGGCCATTTGCCATTCAAATCACACCTGTCCACAACAGCAGCAGCATCCGGAGCTGGTGGGAAAGACAGGACATGATTCAGGAGCAGAGAAGTTGTGAAACACAGCAGAGATTAGATTTTGTTTTTTTCATGGGTCGTTGAAGGGAAAGTGAAGCCTTTCAGGTCTTTTTGAACATGAAGCTATGACTAATTTCAAAAGAAGTTTACATTTTCCTGTTGTTGTTTTTTTGGCTTGTCTCGAAATGTACACAATATTCATTGTATTCGGTGTGACACACACGTGATACACATGATATAAGCTTTGTTATGCTTGAGCCTCACAGCAAAGGATCTTTTATTCTTTTAGTTTATTTACTTCCCCTACTTTAGGTCCCTCGTGTGAAAACTGGGTTGTCATAGAGCCGAATTTCACCAGTTTGACAGGAGATGTGTTCACGTAGGAGGACCAGTGAGTTCATTTAGTCTGAGAAAAAGTTATAACCTCCTTTATGTAACACAGTATAACACAGCCTGTGTGGAACTGTGGCGCACCCTGCTGTCTCTTTACTGACACTGCAGTTGTCTCAAGAAGACAAAAACAAATATGTCGCATTAAGACCGGGGTTTAATTTAAACTTTTAAATATTTGTTTGGGAAATTTAGTTATTTGTATTCATTGAAGTTGGGTTTTTAGTTGTGCATTTTATTAGAGTAACAGCTTAATTTTAAAGATGTATATTTAAATTAAATTGCCAAATAATAGCATTTTTCATGTTATTAGTACTAACCATGGGGTGTTTGTCCTCGTACCAACAGCAGATGGCAGCAGAGGCTCATTTCATAGCCGAGGTACGTTTCTTTTTCCGGTTGGCACGAGTGTTTGTGTTTAAATGTGTAAATTATTACCGCTGCTTGGTCGTCACGTGTCCCTTATAAAACTTACTTGTATTGTCAATAACACGGCGTCAGGCTTTGAGATGCAGCCACAAACCTGTATTTTGTTTTTCTGACGCCACGAACCAATGAGGAGCCGCGTTTCAGTCCCCACCTCCTGTCAACAGACGACAGGGACCAATGGGAGCAGAGGAGGGGGCGGGAAGGAGGGGGAAACACCAGAGCCATGCATAAATAAAGTTTATCAGGGCAGCTTTGGCGTTGTGTTTGGGTCTGGAGATAACAATGTACTCCCTTTTTACACGTGGTGAAATGAGGTTATGTTTGAAGGCTATGCAATGCTTCCAGAGCGGAAACTGGACGGGGAATTACAAGATAAAACAGGGTCGTTGAGTTACATGTATATTTGCAGCAATACATCACGACTTACTCAATAAAATGCATGTACTTAAATAAATCATGCAGATTTGTGTGCAAAATGTGCACACCTTTTGTCTGAACGCTAGAGCCTGTGCGTGCTGAAGGGGGGGGGTAAGTTATGGGTTGGGTTGCGTCAATGCGCGGCTCTGGATGTTCAGTGAAGAGGTAAATAAGGTTTGACCTCGTAGTGGAGAGAGAGAGAGAGAGAGAGAGAGAGAGAGAGAGAGAGAGAGAGAGAGAGAGAGAGAGAGAGAGAGAGAGAGAGAGGGAGAGAGAGAGACAGACAGACAGACAGACACTAACTGGATTAAACGCTGCCAGCAGGAGCAGCAGCAGGAGGAGGACGACCAACAAACAACCTGCAACCCCCGCTGCCAGTTACCTGTGCCCCTGTGGTAAAGACGAGTTGTTATATCCTTCCTAAATAATAATAATAATAATAAAGAGTGGTTAGTTTGACTCGCCGTTGACCTCGTCTGACACAGTTGGAGACTACAGCTGCTGGTGAGTGTCTTTAACCAAACAAGAACTTGCATTAGCTAAAGTAGTGTTTTTTCCCCCCGTTTGGGTTTGGTTTATAACCCACTTCCCCTTGTTTCTGCCACCTCAATCTGAACGTGATAAATCCTCTGCAGCGTGCTGACGTGCGTGGCGTCCATGGCTGCTCGCTGCTTCTGCAAACTTCACTGACCTGTGCGGACGTAGCGGTCATTTATCCAAAGTAAACCCGTTCAATCTGCTCAACTTTTTCCTGTCTCAGTTGTTTATGAGCAGCTGTGGTGTTGGTTTAAATAATTGTTGGTAAACAACGTGTGGCACGCGTTTGTTATTGTGGAGTCTCGTGGCTACACGCCCACGAGGAAGTTAATAATCACAGATTTGCAGTGGGACACTCTCGATAGTTTGAGGGGTTTATGTTGCAGAAGTCTAATGAAGTGGAGCTCTAACTGCGCTAAAGGGGGTTTAAACTAGTTTATTTTGCTAAGTTATAGCACTAATGTGTCTTACTAGTGTAAACTAATGTATTACCTTCTGTGATAGTCAGTCGCAGCCATCTTGATATTTAGATTTAATTTTCCCCTGAAAACATGGTTAGTTTCAGGTGCTTATAAAGTGAATGCAAATAATGTTATGTACATTTACACAATCTTAAATCTTGTAGGGTGAGTGTGTTAAATAAATAGATTATTTTTCTTTTAAATTACAGTAATATACACTAATTACACTTATGTACATCTATCCTGCATGTGTAGTGTGAATGATTAAGTAGTTTAACATCTACACAGTCATGATAATACTGGCTGATTTAAGCTAATCACAGATGTGTGTTCATTTACATAGTTTGTCCATTAAAGAGCACTGACAAGTTTGTTCTTCAACTTTAAAAGGCTCAGTATAGACATCAAAAAGTTTGTTTATGTTATGTGATTGTTAAAAAAATCCATGACAGTAAAAAACAAATGTTGGCTGAGATATTGTATATATATTTAACTCTGTTGTACCGATACGACAAGACGAAGGAAAATAGAGGTTAACCTTTTAGACTGAGCAGTTTATTTTCCCACTTTTTTTTGTTCTTCTTTGTTATGTGTTTTTCTCTATGAAAGTGCTAACAGACAGCAATACATTTAATATAAATGAATCTGTCTACCTGTGACAGTATTATACTCACAGTTATTACTGCTTCATGTTATCGGATGCAATTATCATCAGAAATTATAGGAATAGTTTTGTTATTCATGCAAGGTTAATGGGTCAGACGGCCACCAACATACTGTATCCCTCTACCTTACGTATTACAATACTCTTTGTTGTTTTAGCACAGATTTTATCACAAGGACTGTTTTTAATTATTGGGAAATGTATTCAGATAGAACACAGACTCTCTTCTGTTTTATAGTCTTGAGGAAACATGGTTTTACTCACGTTTCCCTTGTTTGTGGTGGTGATTCTGCTGCTGTGGCGGATCACCACTGCACAGTAATGTGGGAAACATTTACCACTTTAGGCTCAGGATCAGTAATCAAAGGCAGTGATGGGAAGCTGCCGATAAGACGTGAGGTGTACTGAACGGCAATCACACGTAGACGCACTCAGGATGTGATGCCCGGCTATTTTCATAGCAGTGAGTCACCAGCTTGTGGAGGGACAGCAGTGGAGCCAGACAACAACTGAGGCTTAGGTGTGTGTGTGTGTGTGTGTGTGTGTGTGTGTGTGTGTGTGTGTGTGCGCGCGCGTATTCACCATACAATACCATGTATAATCCCAGTCGTTGTGCTTTCACAAATACCTTGTGGTGACCTCCCGCCCACTGGGCATCAAAACTGACCTTTCAGTCCTCTTCTCCTCTAATTCAGGATTTAGTATTTATATAGTGTCCTTTGTCTGATAGTTGACTCGTTTCAGTGCTGATGCAGAGGAAGAAAGCAGCTTGTGTACACCTGCTCAGGCAACACACTTACATTGACAAATGGGAAGTTGCTCAATACATGTGGCAATAAACAGTAACTTCTGCCCTGTACTATCAGCTATCTTGCAGAAATGCACACTGATTAAAGTATGTTTTAAATATGTTGTTATAGTCGTGAATGCAGCACAAGATTGAATACTGGCATTTGCTTTCTGTAGCTCTGTGTACAGCTTTGTGGTAGAAGGTTTCTTTACTTAAGTAACTTTCTATCTAAATTCCCAGCCTACTAGAGGATCTTGCAGGATCTTGCTTCTATGCTGAGTTACTGTGCTAGTTGTTGTGGCAATAAAGTGCAAAGAACAACCTTTCATTATGTTTCATTGATATGTTAAAACATGCCAATATCTGCAGCATATGAGCTAGTGGGAGCATGTAGAAGCAAAACTGAAGAGGCCCAAGAGTGGAGCCTCGGGGGACTCCTCATTTGTGTACCCTCAAATGTGTAATTACTGGTCAACACAAAATAGTCCCTGTTTTTCAGATAGGACAGGGACCAGTATAGCTCTGTGCCAGAGTCTGGCCCAATTTTCCAATCTGTCTAATAATGTTGTGGTCGACTAAGACAGAAACTTTTTCGAGTGTGACTTGACATCTACTGTCTGTGTTTAAGTGGATGTCATTCAAGACCTTAATAAGAGCCGTCATGGTGCTTCACACATATCACAATATAGCATGAGCATGCAGAAAGGCCTATTTCACGTTACAATTTGAATTATATACTTGACAAATTAAGGGAATCTTCATGCAGATTTCCTACCTGCATCCGTGCCTTCTAGAAGAATGCACGTTGTCCAAAATATGAAAAATATTGCTATAAGAATTGTGATTTGTGACACAACAAAATGAACAAACATAAGCATAATGTAAAACGATGGATGTTTTTCTATTGTCACAAGATATATATTGTCATGTTGCACAGCCCCATTGACTAGTTTGCAGGAGATGGAGTTAAAATCATTTTTGAAAAAGGATTTCATTGTGTCATGCTATTGGATTTGGTTTAAGAACTCACAGCTAACCTTAGTCGAAGCAATAGCATCAATAACATTTGTAATTTTAGAACTAAACTTATCTACAAGATCATTGACTGAGATCCAAGCAGTAGTGGGTGTGGAAGAGAAAGCCTGAATGAATAAATCACTTGTGTTTTCATTGATTTAAAAGAAAACAGTAATGATCGCAAAGAGCAACTCACCACAACCTTAGACATGTCAAGACCTTTGTAGATGATCAAGTCTCTGTCACATGTTGAGTCAGTCCATAGTTACACAGAAGACAACACCGTTCTTTAGTGCAGCTGTCCTGACAGCTGTCAACATGAATGTTAAAACAACAATAAGTTGCAGTCAGTGCAGATGATAGACAGCGGCTCAGCAAAGTCATCAGTTTGCGCAGTTTTTAGGTGGCCTGTAGATGTTTAAGAAGATGGACAATAAGAATTAAACTAAAGAGCAACATATTCAAATGAAGCACAGGTACATTATGTCTATTAAGACTATGTATGTCTTCCTGATCTGTGTCCTATATTTTCTCAGTCCTGTTTCAGGGAACCAACTTGCTCAGACATAAACTTATTTCACAAAGCTGCAGAGAAAGTGTGAGATGGGTTATTTGGCGATAACAGATATAAAACTGTCCTAGGGTGAATTAATGAAAAAAAAAAAAAAACACTTAACATAAATAAGACAATAATAAATACAAAGAGACAAATCAGTGCTTGTAATATTTCTAAATATTAAAAAAAAAACTTTTTTGTTTTGTTGTTTGGGGCTTTGGCTGCTGGTCCTTTTGTGTGACAAAGTATGCCAACCCCTGGTCTCCAGCAGTCCTAAAGGAGCACGGATGACCCACTTAACTGACTCAGTGTGTGTATGTGTGTCGCAGCACACTCACATATTGCTTCGACTCTTTCAGCAACGGCTTTTTCCATTGGCACGAATCCCAGCTGAACTGTGTTTAAGCACGTTGTTACACCCACAAAACAGCACCTGTAAGGCACCAACGAGCACGCTGAGTAAATCTGCAGATTGCAACAGTGAGGAATGCAGTGCTTGTTTAGATAAGACTCGGAGTCCAAGTTATACTCACAAGCATTATCAGCATCAGTGTATTGTATCTACTATTTGAGTAGTTGAGTTTAAGATACACCAGATTGATTCTTGGAAAGAAATGGTGTAATATTTTGAGATCTGCCTTTTAATAGAAAACAATCTCGCAGTCCTATCAGTTGCAGTTAAATGAGGAGAGGAAAAGAGTGACGGCAAACCTTGTACATGAACCAAACATGTGCAGCCACATTTGCTCACGCACAGAAATAGCTGGAAGAGGCAACAGCCAGCAACTCTCCCAACTCCTCCCTCCTAGTTTCCAGTGACATTTTCAGATCCAGTTCTGGACCACATACACATATCTTCGCAGCGTACATGCATGCACGGTATTCCCTCCCTTCCTTACTACTGTGTGCGGTGCTCACACAGATATTGCAAGTCATAAGTATTTTTAGACAAAGTATTAAAGTCATCTGAAGATGTAACAGCTGTGCGTGTTTGTGAGCGTGCGTGTCTCTGTTTGGTCTGAATGTGTGTTGACGACGGGGTTATTTCTATTTCCATTTGCCTCCTTGTCCCTCTGTATGTCTTTGTCTCTGTTCCTCTCATCTTTACTGACAAGTTCATGTTACACATTTAGATATTTGACCTCCTTATTTTGTCGGTGAACACTATGTACCTCTCTGTGCTACCAGGACTACTCTGTATGGAATGAGATATAGCATAACGACAATATTCACCCTACATTTCTCTGTATTCGTCTGTTTTGTCTCATTTTATGTCCTTCTCTCTGTCTCTAGTCCATCATGGCAGGCGATATGATGTTACTGATGCGAGGCTTGGCCAAGTTGAGCCAGGCGGTTGTAGAGACTCAGAACAGCACCCTGCGCAGTGGAATGGGTAAGTTTGAAATTCATATTTAGTTCCTAAATTGGTTAAAAAAATATTCTGTGTCCCCTCTGTAGTTAGTTTTTTGACATTAGTACAAGTTTCAGCATTTTAGATACCCTTAAACTTTTGCTGACCTGCTCACTAGCTCATATGTTAGGCTAGCTTGCAATCAGCTTACAAATTGATGGAAAAGTAAAAATAATCTATATTTATTCAAACAAAAGGTTTTAATTTAAAAAAGGTTAGCATTATGTGAAAACTAGGGCTTTTCACTACATGATTATTGTTGCCAAAAGAATTCACAACAATAATATTATATTATTTAGAAATTTAGAAAACCCAAATTCATTTAATCAAATCCTGGTAGATACAGACATTTATTTTGGGCAATAACATTAATAATTTTACTCTATGGTCAGTTTATTGTGTACAGAAGAGATTATTAAAGATAATAATATGTTTTGTTCTTTATAACTCAGGAGTCCAAGGAGTTGGTGCTGCAGTCCAAAGTGTCCAATCGGCTGCTGAGCAAGGCCTCTCTGCCGCTATGATGAAAGTGCAGGTATGTGTGTAAATACTACTGTGCAAAATGGCAGCATAGTTTGAAAAGAACTGTATATTACATTTAATGGCAATATCATGTTATGTGTGTCTGTCCAGGAGCTGTCTGGCCAGCAGCAGACCTCTTCATCAGAGTCAGAATTTGATTTCCCTCAGGATGACAGTGCATTCGCGGCTTCAGAGTTCAAGGAGGATGGCGTGGACTATACAGTGGATCACACAGGAAGTACTGGTGATGCAGAAGCCCAGCACGGTGCAGCAGCAGGAGCGAGTGGGAAACAGTCGTTGTTTGAGGGATACAAAGATCCCAGCAAACAGTTTAGTGGACACACCAGATCTTACCACCAAGATGCAAGGTATTAATAGTCTCTTACTCAATTGAAATTGACAGTATACAAGTTTATGCTGCTGTTTGGAGGATAAAGGTAATCACTTTTGCTTTGGGTGTGCCAGACATTATGCTGGACATCATCAGCTCTACAACCACAGCCTGAACAGGCAGTTGTGGGGACAGCTATACTGTCAGAATCAGATCAGTCAGCTCAGGAGCTACCATCAGGACCCGTCCACAGTTGGAGGGCTGACGGCTGAAGACATCGAGAAAGCAAGACAGAGCAAGAGGGATGAGAACAAACCCCACAAACAGATGGTAATTCCTGTTCGGCCCCTGTTCTTAAACACAAACACACATAGACACGATGTAAATGTGTACTTCTCCATACACATTTTGAGATTTTAATAGAAAGGAATTTTTACTGTCTTCTTCAGTTGAGTGAGAGAGCCAGAGAGAGGAAAGTGCCAGTGACTCGGCTTAGCAGACTGGCCAACTTTGGAGGTATAGTAATAAAACTCTTTACTACTCTGTCTGAATCTTGGTTGATTTCATTGTGTGACTGTATCTGTAGGTATGTGTCTGTGTGCAAGCCTGCAAGAACACCTCTTCCAGTTTAGTGTGTGAATTTTACTGACTGTGCGGTTTCTCAACAAGAATCCGTAAAATAAAGTATTTAGGCATCCTAACCCTCATTCTTGTGAAGTGATGAGTCTTAATCAGTCCCTCCAGGAAGTTGCGATGTTGCAATCGCAACAGTTAACGGAAATTCAGCCAATCTATGTGTATTATGTGCAACCTTCCAACCATTATAGTTTCCTGCAAAAATCTATCTATCTGAGTATTTTTTGCAGTTTTCTGTTTCTAACAAAATTTGATTGCAAAAAAATGCCTAAAAACATCGCAATTTTGCTGTTGCAGTTCTTTTAGAAAAACTGTTGTGAAATCATTTTAGGCCACAACAAATCCTGGTGGGACTGCTTAATGGAAAATCTAACATTATGTGGTTTCTCTTTGGTTAGTCGCAAAGTTTGAAAAAAAATAGGTGTGAAATTGAGTTGTGACTTTCTGGTAACTTAACCTTGTAATCGTAAATCTAACTGTACTACAGCCCTCAATCAGCTGGGGTCAATGGGGTCAGTGCAGTCGGTGTTGTTATGTCATTGCATGACCTTCTTAATGTCTATACAGTGATTAATGACAAGATAACACCACTGAACATATATACAGACTTAAATGCGAGAGTTAAAAGGTAGTAGGAGAAAACACACAGTAATAGAGCTAACAAGATCCTGGTCTTGCTCTTAAACAAACACTTCAAGAAACCTTATTAATGGACCTGTGTTCCTGTCCAGATATTATATTTGATAGCAGCACCTGAGACATTGTTGTAATTAAATCTGTGTGAGTTTGCACTGCATATTGTTGTGTGTTAGTTAATCTTATGTTTGACCATGTTGGCTGCTCTCTCATATTTAAACACACAAATTACTGCCAATCTGATGTAAAAGTAAATCTAAAAAGCAAAGTGAGAGAAAAATAAATAGTTAAAATATACAACAAAACTCCAAAAGCCAATAACTGTAGCAGTAAAAACATTGATGAAAAGTTGTAATGGATTTTTTTTCTAATTGGTATTCTTATTTGTATATCAACAAGAATTGAACTATATTGAACGCAAGTTTGACATGTTCTAGTCTCAAAAAATAATATCTAGACAGGATGTTTTTCAGTGATATTCAAAGATTAATTTGTTAACTCAAGCGGAGTGAAACAAAACAACAAGATTGAGAAGTAGTTCAACGTGACAGATCAGAGCTCGTAGATCAGCAGCTTGTAGCTTCACTTGAGACGGATGATAGATAAGTTAACAGGTGGCATAAAGTTGGACGGAGAAGCTGAAAGCACAGAGTGTGAGGGAGAACATAGACTGTACAAAACTGAACCCAGAACTCAGTCTCAGATGAGTCAGAACGGACTGCCAACACAAATATATGCAGCAGAATTTAGCCGCAGCTCATACCAAACAAATGGGACTTACACAGGCTGCAGTGAGACTTAAAAGGTGGAGCTGAGTTGAGTCAGCATGTTGACAGTGGTAACATTTAGAAGGTGTTGGGAGAAGGGGAGGGGGTGAAGGAATGTGTCCTCGTCCTGTCCTTCACTCTGCTGCAACTTTTGTTGACAAAGTTATACAGGTTTTATTCACAGCTACGAATAGAGATAAAGAATGAGGACAGGCTGAATTTAAATGTGATTTATAGTTTCATAAATCTGTTGGCATGTTTCCTGGCAACAGACATTTTTTTGTATCCTTGCCCGGACGTCTCCCCTTGACGTTGCCATGCATATCACTATGGTGAAAGGTTTTGCTGAAGCTTGTGAGGAAACAGGACTATATATTTGAGTATTTCCTGGTGCAAATGAAAGAACAGGAATCGTCTTTTTAAAGCCCGTAAGCAGTCGTTCAGCAGTCTGCCTGTAAACGCATGGCTGTCTCAAATGATTGACGGACGCTTGTGTTTGGTCTGTGAAACAGTCTGTCACTCAGTGATGCTGCAGGAACTGCTGATCTCTGTTTGGCTGCACACATTGAGATCATACAGATATATACGCACAATGGCAAGAAGTTGGCACATCTGCTGTCTAAGTGTATTCTTGTGTTCAAGTTCGAATTTACTGCTGTGCATTTTAAATCCCTGCTAAAGCAGGAAGACAAAAATAGTGACGACTGAGTACGTTGGGAGGGAAAGAGTAAGACAACACTGTATCAGCTTACACAAGGTAACATATGCTGTACAGAGTTCAACATGTTTTCTGTCAAAGTGTGATGCACATCCTCCTTCCCTCTGGTCCAATCTGTCTCCAACAATAGAGGCGATGACAGGTTTTTTGACCAATAAGAAATGCTCAGTCAACTTGTATACAAGACACTGAAGCGCACTGTGCCCTAATTTGTCTGTCTACCGTTGGATCTCGCTTCAGGGGCCGCTGACTAACTGATTATGTAATGATGAGTTATGTAAGCAAGAGACCAGGCTCGGAGCAACGCTCTCACAAACAGCCCCTAACTCGTTCAGCCTCGCTTTTTCTCTTAATTATCTGCTAAAATTTAGGATTAAGTATTTCAACAGCTTAACTGTTAATATGATGAGATTGATATAAGTTTAATTCGCGCTGTTTGGTTGGCAGAAGTGCAGCTGTTGCAGTTCTGTCATTGAATGCTGCTGAGCTGATCAAGGTGCTTATCTGCACATGTTTTATTTGTCTCATATATTCTGTTGAATATGTTATATTTATGGGAAAACAGAAGGCAACAGATTGCTTCATACGGTCTTAAGTTTATTTATAGACAGAGACATCACTGAGCACTGGTGAAATATTCTGACAGGTTGATGGTGGCTGTGCCATTAAAACAGCTGACTGTCAATACAGTGATTGACACACTAAAAGGATGTCTTTACAGTGTCACTACATGACTGTGCTTTTGTGTGTGTGTGTGTGTGTGTGTGTGTGTGTGTGTGTGTGTGTGTGTGTGTGTGTGTGTGTGTGTGTGTACCAACTTTCAGTTTGTGACGCACTTTACGTATTATAACTCATTTTACAACTGTTTATGCTACATTAGTGTTTGTTTGTGTATTAAGCCATCCCACATTCATGAGTGTGTTGTTGGTGTGCTGTCTGTGTGTTTCCAACAGGTCTAGCTGTAGGTTTGGGTTTTGGAGCGCTGGCAGAGGTTGCCAAGAAGACCATGAGACACAATGGTGCGACAGGTAACGCATTTGCTTACACAATATCTAGAGTTAGCCGTCTTGCCAAACAGCTGAGTTATACATGTAAACAGCTATGTTTGCTTTTGCATTATTATTCAGATATTTTTATGATAATCAGATATTCAATTTTTGTGTGAGATGATTAAATATTCAAGTCTACTAGCAGATATATTTCCTTACTGCAGTTTTACCACCACTGATATCACAGCTGCTTCTTTCTGAATGCATAGTACTATGGATTTGTCCGTACAGGTAAAATACAGGTTATAAGAAGTAATTATTATGGTCGTGTCTGAGAGTTTTGTACCTGTAAGGGCAGGTATGTTTATCTTTGTCTCATGGTAAGAACATACGCAGATTTTGAAACTGTGTTCCTATTGAATAGCGCCACTGAAAAAGCTAACATCATGTTCCAGAACCTATCCTTTATGCATGTTGCTACATGCTACACACTTTTTTGTATGCCAACAGAGCACAGTTAGGCCGCCTCCCTCATCAACCTCCAACTTACTGTAAACAGATCTTCCTGCTCTGCACCGTGAGCCTGCTAATCCTAAAACAGAGCTAAGCTGAAACAGCATACAGACTTAAATCTGAGGCACTTGTGCGTCTGTTTGTGGGTGTTTCTGTGTGTCTGTGTGTGTCTGTGTGTGTGTCTGTCTGTGTGTGTGTGTGTGTGTGTGTGTGTGTGCGCGGTAATCCCAGCAGAGACATTCTGAACGCACTCATAGGTGAGTGTGTGTTAAATCTCTTTTAAAGCCTCTGAATGCAGCTTCAGACACACTAAAACACCCTACCTGATGACCTACTGACACATATACACACAGACACACACATCTGCTGGGGTTTGTACTCAAACACATGCACATATTGTATATAAATCTCAACCTTTAAACTATTGCTATTGATAACTTCACTTGTATATTAAACAAAAACATGTGGTGTAGTTGATTAACACATGCATACATAAAACCTTGGCTCTTAAGTTTGACTTTAGTGTTGACACACTAGACATTGCATGTAACGGGAACCATTTGTCTATGAACCCAATCCTCTCTGTTTTGTGTGTCTGCAGGTGACAGTAAGAAAGGCGTTTTGGACTCTAGCCCCTTCCTGTCTGAGGCCAACGCTGAACGCATCGTCAGAACTCTGTGTAAAGTCAGAGGAGCTGCATTAAAACTGGGACAGATGCTCAGCATTCAAGGTGTGCGACAAACACACACATACATTCACAAATTGAGATGTAGACAGGGTGAGATGGGGGGGGTATAAATAAAAAGAGGCATGAGAGTAACCATGAATAGAAATTAAAGTGAGAAAAGATGTGTGGAAGAATGGATAAAGAATAAAATGATGATTCACTGAGGTATGGTTTGACTATCCTAATGTGATGCTCACATTTCCATCAAGAAAGCTGATGAGTCCTTTGCTTTTGATATTGTGCATTGTGCAAATACAAACTATCTGATGAGAGAACTCACTACAAAACACACATTTATTTTATTGTTTCCACCAGCAATGGATACTGCACCATCTATATTTAGGATGTATAGTATTCCTGTGCCTTTTTTTCCCCCTTTAATTATACAGCTCAATAAACCCTGGATCACAGGCAATTATCAGCAAAGAAAGTTGTCACAGAGATCTGATTGTTGTTGATCAGTGGCAGCCAAGAGTTAAGTTAGGTCAACTTTTCTCTGCCAGCCCGCTGCAGTCATTTACCAGTGGATTGACAGATAAAGTGTAGTTTTGGTGAGCTGTTGATGGTTTTCTATACGCTCCGTTAGAGACTGAGAATTGACCTGCATGTTTGTGTCTGCACACAGACACAAACATGCAGGTAGCAGCAGCTGAGAATAAGTTAGAATGTAAGTCAGTGCTTGTTTGTGTTTTGCACACATGCGCCAGACAAAGCTAAAAAGTGGAAGGCCTGCAGCGGTAAACATCCTGGCACAGAGCTAGTGCAGTCGGGTCAGGTAACGGCAGTAAACACATGATTCATTTTGTTTATCTCAGTTTCCCTTGCAATCTGACCTTGGCTGTGACCCTTGTCCTTTGGCATTCATATACTGAGCTCAGAACATGTTAGAGTAAACTTTACATGGGCAGTACAGTGTAGTAAATCTAATGAACCACAGACACAGGAGGAGAGAAAAGGACAGTGGCTGCCTGGTGTTTGCTAAACAAGTTTCAGCACAGTCGATTGACCTTGTGTGCCTGTGTGTGTGCGGTTATTTGCAGAACTGGTGTAGCTTTACTTCATCTCTAAGCTGGTGACAAGTTGATTCTTAAATCATGGACAGAAAAGTTTCAGTAGTCTTCTGTAGCTGGAAACACACACACACACACGTCACTGCTCTTCCCACAGAGAATTAAAGAGGTTGAATATGATTTATAGTCTTATAGAAGTCTTATAGAATTATACTCAACAGAGACCAGTGAAATATGACTGGACTCTGGAGGATAAGAATCACTAAAGTGGCCCACTGCTGACATTTATCTGCCACGGCAGGAATGCAGCTGTGGCAGGATGATTGTGTGTCCAACCATTGTACCCTTTACCACCGGCCCAAAATAATGTTAACCTTGAGGGGTCTGAGCTATTTTAGTTTACTTTAGCTTGTCATGGTGATTCCTCATGTCGTCAACAATGTCAGCCAATGTCATCTTTGTAGATGCCAAGTAGTGTTAGGTTGGCACTGTATTAAAGTGGTGTGTTTCTCTATTTCAGATGATGCATTCATTAACCCTGAACTCGCCAAGGTCTTTGAGCGCGTTAGACAGAGTGCTGACTTCATGCCAATCAAACAAATGACAGTAAGCATCTTTTCTTTTTTGCATTAACTGATAACTATAATTGGGTAAGTGATTATAAGAATATCAGTCATACCTCTTCACTTTTGAAGAAAAAACGTGGACGTTTTACTAAATATGGACAACTTTTAAAGACAATAAATGAAGTTGAATGTAACTGTTTGTGTCTGTCTGTAGAAAGCATTGAACAGTGACTTGGGTCCTAACTGGAGAGACAAACTGGAGTCGTTCGAGGACCGTCCATTTGCGGCTGCGTCCATCGGCCAGGTTCACCTGGCGAGGATGAAGGATGGCAGGGAGGTGGCCATGAAAATACAGGTAGGCTGTGAACATGTGTGTGTATACAGTGCATTCTCATGTTATTAAGATAAACACTGTAATGTGAGTGCGTCTCACGTGTGTTTGTCCTCTCTGTTTCTCACAAACATGCGTTTATAGAGAAACCACACAGAATCTGCTCTGTTTGTAGATCAGATCTCTTTTAAAAAGTGTAAAAATCAGCTGCTTACTAAGAAACAAGTTATTTTATGCTTTTACAATATTTACAGACTATCTGTCTGCCATCTTAATTGTTTAAAATAAATGCCTTTAGGACTTACATAGGATTTGCCAGAAATAATTAAACATTATATATAATAATAGCATTCCCAGTTAAAGCTATAGTTACATTATACTATAAAGATATGTTTAAAATAAATAATCATACAGATACATAATACAACGGCATTACAGTATTTGAAAGTAAATTTAATTTTTTTATTTCTTTTTGTCCTTCATTTTATGATTAAATTACATTTTTAAAAAGTTGTAATTGTCTTCGTGTGTTTGTTTCTCTCCAGTACCCTGGTGTGGCTCAGAGTATCAACAGTGACGTCAACAACTTGATGACGGTGTTGAAAATGAGCAATGCCCTACCTGAAGGTAGAAATTCTGTCATATACAAACAAACACACGTGTGCTCACATTCTAATTAAAATAATGGCTATGTGTGTCCATATGTTAATATGACTAAATATCCAATTGGGAATTGGGTAGCTAACAGGGTAAACTCAGGGAAAACTCAGATAAACTCAAATATATGTTCTTTCCCCAAACCATGTGACAAGAGTGATGAAGAATGTGTAACAGTCCATAAATTCTTCAAAGTATCGCTTTAATTAGCCTTTCTGCAGCTGGTTGATGCCCAGATTTATTATCTACAATACCTCCATAAGGACATCTATGTAGGCAGCTATAGCCTGAAAACTCCTCATCTGAACACACACACACACACACACGCACACACACGCACACACACACACACACACACGCACGACACACAACTTAATTCAACTTCACTGTCCTTGCTTCTCCATCTGCTCCTGTTACTGACTCTTTATTGCCATGTGAATTCTTCTTGTTGTTGTTGTTGTTGTTTTACATTGTCTCCCTTTTTCTTGCTGTCTTTATCTCTCTTTAGGTCTGTTTCCAGAGCACCTGATAGACGTGATGAGAAGAGAGCTAGCACTGGAGTGCGATTATGTTAGAGAAGCCCAGTGTGCAAAGAAGTTCAAGTGAGTCTTATGTAGCATATCTAGAAAGTCAGCTCTTTACAAGATGTCTCTTCCCATTGCATTGACTGTTTATTATGTTTTAAAATAGAAAAGCCAAGACAACTGCCAGCCAACTATAAATAGATTTAATATTAAATACAGATGACCTATCTACTTAACCTGGATTTATCAGGGTTTGTACAAAGTCTTTAAAGTTTGTAAAATGCAGAATTTTGTTTCATTTACACTATCTCTAATGTAAACCAAAAATCTTTTGATATTTGAAATTAAACAAATCTGTCGTCATATTTGTTTGTCTCCCAGAGTTTTCACTTATCATTTATAGCTTGATTAGTCCTCAGTTACTTATTCTCTAAAAATAGCAAGCATTAAATTGTAATAGTTCAAACAAACAATCAAAGTTTGGTTAAGGTACCTTGAAAGTGCTTGAATTTTACTATTAAAAAGCTGTGCAAACCCTGATTTATGTGTCATTGTATCTATTAATCTGTCTGACTCAGGGAGCTATTGAAGGACCATCCGTTCTTCTATGTGCCAGAGGTGATTAAGGAGCTGAGCGGTAGCCATGTCCTAACCACAGAGCTTGTCCCTGGGTTTCCCCTGGACCAGGCTGAGAGCCTCACACAGGAGCTGAAGAACGAGGTACAGCTGACAGACCAGACAGATGAAGAGATCGACAGATATTTAACTGACTAATGGATGCATTCATCTGGGATTGAGCGCATTAGTTAATGTGTTCAGATACAGAGAACTAGTTTCTTTCTGATGAATAAATACATAGATAGATGAATGGTGGGAGGAACTCTCTTAAGACACACAAAAATGAACATTCATTGTTGACATGAACAACAATAAAAATTCTATTTGTTTGTTCCTGCTTCAGATCTGCCAGAACATCTTGATGTTGTGCCTCAGGGAGCTGTTTGAGTTCAGATACATGCAGACTGACCCCAACTGGTCCAACTTCTTCTATGATCCACAGACACACAGGGTGAATACTGATGTTACTGTTACTTCTACTACTACTACTACTACTCATGATAATAATGATAAATGGTATTGACTGAGATTTCAAAGTAATGAAAGTGATAAGTCATCATTGATGGTGTCTCTCTAGGTGGCGCTGTTGGACTTTGGAGCCACGAGAGGATTCGATCAGAGTTTCACAGACGTCTACATAGAGGTAAGATTCTTAACTTTCGTCACTATACACTGAGAGTGGATTATGTTAATGTAATTTACAGTTATACAGATAATTTTGGCATGCATAAGATATTAAAACATATCTCCGAGATGGAGAGAAAGACACTGAGGCTATGGTGCTCATAACGTTGTTTGTGACTGTAGATAATCCGTTCGGCTGCCGAGGGCGACAGAGAGGGAGTTCTGAAGAAATCTATTGACATGAAATTTCTGACTGGTTATGAGTCCAAGGTAAATATCTCTTAATCTGACTGTCTACTCTACATGATTAAACCATAGCTATACATTTTCCCATTGATACAGCCAATAGAAATGGGATGTAGTAGTGACAGAAACCCAGAGCAAATACATCAAGGGTTGTCGTAAAAGCAACATAAGAAGTTGTTTTGATAAATCAAGATCCAAATTTCACTTAAAAGCTCAGCCGTCTGTGCCTCAAGTTGACCTGGTTTTGCTACACAAGTAAAAATATGTCAGAACCAATCTGAGAAAATGAGTTTCTGCAGCAGATGTTGCTCTTTAATTTATAAAAGTGACCTATTTTACTGAACCTGATGATCATTAGCTGACACTAAACATGCAGCATGTTTTTCCCTCTGTGTCCAGGCGATGATAAATGCCCACGTGGATGCAGTGATGATCCTTGGTGAAGCCTTCGCCTCCATGGAGACTTTCGAATTTGGCTCCCAGTCCACCACCCAGAGAATCCACAACCTCATCCCTGTGATGCTCAAACACCGGCTGACCCCGCCTCCCGAGGAGACGTACTCGCTTCACCGCAAGATGGGCGGCTCCTTCCTTATCTGCTCCCGACTGAATGCGAAGCTGCAGTGTAAGGACATGTTCCAAATAGCGTATGATAAGTATTGGGAAGGCCGCACACCGCCCTCCCACTAAGCCACAAACCAATCCCCAAGTGTCAGGCGATTTGATGGACAGATCCTGGGGCCAACGGCAAAGTGCAAGTCAACAGTGTGAGGGTCAGGGCAGGAAGACGCAGGACTGCAGAGCTGAAGGCACCCGTCCTTAACTGGTCAGCGAGCACCAGCTTATTTTTCCCATTTTGGGCGACGCACTACGACGAGTTTTTGAAGGGGACTTGCGCATATTTACAACCACCATTTCATAGTTTGAAAGGGAGCAGCAATATTTCGAGTGCTTTAAGGCCACACTCTAAATTTGGCCCCGAGAGGACTGAGAAGAGGTGGTATGTGGATGGAAGGAGAGAAACTAACAACATTGTGTATTCAGGTGTAAAATGAATGTAAAAAAAAAAATTGGAATTGTATTTCTCCTCTGATGTTTTCAAGGTGATTCTTGCATTTTTTTTGTGTTGCTGTGTTTTGTTGAACTTTTGGGGGAAAAAATCACAACCAACTGTCCAGTTTGCCGTCTCCCAGAAATGCCAAGGGTGAATTGACTGTATTAAAGGAAGAAGACTGAACTCTTAACCCAAAGTCATGAAATAATGGGGTTAATACAGTATATGGGTAGAGTAAGTCACTGACCAGGACCAACATGTCTGGGTCACAAATATTTGTTTCTGTTGCTTTTCAAGGAAGTTGAATTAGATTTTCTGCTTGGATATGAATAATAAGGCTCGTTCTAAATATAGACAGCAAGATAATTGTAGCAGTTTTCATAAGAACAAGATTTGTTTTTTAGACAGATTGAGTGTTCAAGTCAAGATGTTGCCAAGCGAACAAGTCCAGTTGAATTTAGCCATTGGTAGAAAATGTGACAAACTGGAATTTGTCTGCATTTACACAGAAAAAGGTCTGACTTTTAACTCGTGTATGTGTGGTGTATTTTCTGTATCAGTGTAACCATCCAGATTATAGTGCTGTTTATAACTTTTATCTTTCTGTGGCGCAGAATGTTGATTCAGACAGTCTGTCTCAAGTGACCATTAACATGACATTCAGAATCTGTATGTGGTAATGAACCTGGGGGCTAAAGCATTATTTTACTCAGTTTGTATCTATAGAGCTTCTGCTGTACATTTTTATCTGTTATCTGATGATTTGTCTTCAAACGCTGTCCACATGGGTCAGATTTAGCTGAGTTCCAGTTGATTACTTACAATGATGTTAGCATTGTGGCTTCACCATTTCTTTCTTTTAGTACCAAAGCATGATATTTTTTTGGCTCTATTCAGCTGTTAGTAGGAGATTGTACGCACATATAGAAATGAAACCATATGGATCCATGTGGCTGACTGTAAGAAGATGAGGGCTGACAGAAAGACTTGCATCTTTACCGGGCCCGGGCTTAAGCATGAATGTTAATTAACTACCGAGATGGAAGAAGCTCATCCTGATATCGCACAAGCTCCAGCTCGTGGGCTCACCTTGCCTCCCACAAGTCTATAATCTCTCCACGTCTTCTCGGGTGTGAAATCCTCTGTCACCTGGCTCGTGAGCGGCTGTGAAAGTTCTCTCTACTCTGCTGTGTGAATGCGGTTATAGTGGTCTCTGGAGTGAAAAAAAAAACAAGGTGCCTATAGTTTCCAGTGGAAGGTTTTTAGCTAGAAATCCTGACTTTGTATTTCATATCAAGACTCAGTGGAAAGATGGTTTAAATTTTCTAATCGAAATGCGTTATTTACTGAAACTTGTGATAAAGATATTGTATGAAAAGAGTAAATGTTTGATCTATACTTGTCATGTGGCTCTGTGTGAGTTTGTGTGTGGTATATTTTCAATCCATTTTAAATGACTAGCTCTTCAGAGAAATATCAGATAGTGTGTCAATGCTGTTGGAAAAGCAGATCTCAATATATATGTAGCCCAGATTGTGTCCCTGTATCGTGGCCTGTAGGTTAAGCGGTTGTAATGTGTGTTTGGAAGAGGAAAAAAAATGGAAATACAGTAGGGAGAGGCAGAGGGAGAGAGGTTGTCTTCCTTATTTAGCAATGTCTTGGCCGGCGAAGGAGGAACTGGCAGAGAGCCCGGGAAATGAGAGCACACAAACAAATATTCACAAAATATACATGTGCACTTAAATTTCCAGACAAATGAATCATGCCAGTGCTCACGCACAGGAAAGCGATTGGTTTAGGGTGAGTGCATGTAGATAGACACGTAGACACACACGTTCCTCCCCCCTTCTCATCTCTGAGTCAGCCTGACTATGACACTTTTCGTCTGTGCTTGGAAAATCCTGTAATCACACTTTTCTCCAAATAATTCCAAACTGTTGTGTTAAAGTGTTAAACTAGTTTGTTGTAATTCAACTCAGTGTCCAGCACATGGCGCTGTTGTATTTCCATGCAGTCCTATAGAATAAAGCTCCAGCAGTTTCTCAAATACTGACATCACCCCAATAAAAGAACGAAACATAACCAGCCTGAAGCCAGTCGGATAATTATGTGATTCTCAGACGGCTGAAAGAGGTTTAATATGTAATTTCTGCTTTATTAGACAATATTCTGCAAGCAGAGGTGGGAGGAATTATATTGAGAAATGAATGCACAAAGCAACAATTGTCATTAGGAGCATGTTGATATTGATATTTTTGGTACTGTAAGATAATATGTGTGTGAGCCACCAGAGCCTTCACATGTATACTCACATACCTGAAACATTTCAAATTAAATACGTATATTAGAGGCTGAATAAGCTAATTAAACAAATGCCCTCATTTTGTGACTGCCAACCTAATAATCCTCTTTAGGTATATTTTGTACTACAAGGATTTTTATTTTTTTGGAAGCATAAGATTCAGGCAATTTCATCCATTCCAATGAAATACCATCTACTGTTTTCCCTTAATGCATTTTCTAAAACTATTTTAGGAACCACAATTCTTTGAGAAAAACACTGGCCTCAGAATATCTCAACAAGAGGTCAGGATCCGGGATAATTTAAAAGTCTTGGACTGCATTTAATCCAGTTTGGGTCCCGGGTGGACACAGGTTCTCCGACCAGCGCTGTCGCTGTGTTATATCTTGATGATCTAAATGTGTTTTGACGTTGCAACTTGCTGAGCTGAGATGGAAACAACTCAGCTCTCGTTGTGTTTACACTACGAAGAGGATGGTGGGAGTGTTGGGGGGGGGGGATGTTGTGGACCTAGTTGTTTGGTCAGAAAGAGCAGGCAGCGAGAAATCCTTATTTGGTGAGAGAGGAGAGTCAGCAAGTCTGGGCACAATCCTGAAAGCCTAACACTAACTTTTACCAGTTTCCTTCAGTGTGATTTTTTATCCTCATCACCAGCATCCCCATGCAGATGGCTAATGAGACTATTTTTATTATTACCATGGAAACTGATTTTATACTGTGGAGTACTCAAATGCAATTCCGAGCCTTTAAGCTAAATCGGATAAACTAACTTCTTGACTGTAAGAAACCTGAACAGTATGGCTCTAAGCTGAGCTGTGGATTGGTAAAATATGCCAGTTTTACTTGAGAGATTGTGCTATTTTTTCAATGCGCATGACTAACTAGAGATCCACACATTCTCCTGATTGTACCAGTAATGTTAGTCATTAAGGATCCCCTCTACCAATGTGCTGGATTTTGGGGAAATAAACATGGCAATTAATGTCTAACGTGGGAATGATCTCTGCGGTGTCTGATGGTGTTTGATTGGGGAAATAGTGGAGTGTTACTTTTTCCTAATTTCTGCTGATAGTCAAGTTTGATGGAAGGATGCATGTCTTTTAGTATGAAGCCGTAGGTCAATTTTACCAAATTTATGAAACACATTCTTACTTTACTCGGAACCAGCCATTTCTTTTACAAATTCTTATGGAAGTACATCCCATTTTAGGTATGACCGGCTGTCAATCAAACACTGAGAGTGAATAAGGCAAAAACATAGTCCCAGAGAAACCATATGGACTTGCTTTGTATATATCTTATGCTTTGAGCTACATGCTAACATAGGCATGCTAACAGGCTCACACTGACAAAGCTAACATGCTGTTTAGTATAGCAGTCTTATATTTACCACCTTAGTTTAGCATGTTGGGATGCAAGCATTTTCTAACCAGCACTAAACACAAAGTACCACTGATGCTAATGGTAATGTAATTAGTTTTGCAGGTAGCCTATGTCATAAACTAAAGTGTTGGATAAACTGAAATTTTGACCTGATGATGGCGCTAGAGGTAAACTAATAGACCACCAAAGAGATTGTTGCATGAAGGTCCCAAATGAGACATTTCACTCAATATCACAAATTTTAACCATATGGTGACGCTAGATAAACTCAGAGAATCACCAAAACCTTAGGGATTTCCCTCTGGGGACCACAGCAGTCCAACCAGTAGTTTTTGAGGTATTTACTCTTGACCATATCGGGGACTGACAGACTGACAGACCACCCCTGCAGCCTCACCGCTAATGTGGCTAAAAATGGAGTTTAAACGCATGAACGCATCAACAGTGTGTGAGAACCAATTCCATGCTCATTGAAAGAGGAAACAGTCTGAGAAACAAACAACCACAAAGTGAATTTAGAGCAAATTTTGTATCGCAAGGAAACATGCTGTGGTATCTAAATGTCAAAGATACCACAGCTACCACCGCATTGACAGTTTTCATGCCATGGTCTGTAGCAAGCTCAGGAGCCATATTCTGAAAGGTTTTTTTTTATTTACACATAATTTATTTGCATATAAAATGTGCACATATTAAATTCTACGTGAATAAGCGATACTATTAATAAAAACAGTGACTGGAGATATCTTCAGTTTCACGGGGGTAAACGATCTGCTCAGGTCTGTCTGGCTCAGAGGATGAACCCCTCAAAACTAATCATGGTTTACATAAAATCAAAAACCTGCACAATTCAATCACGAGTATTCAGTAATTTGAACCAAAACTTTTTTAATTGCAAGATATTTTATCAGTCACTTCAAACGGCTTAAAATAAAACCAATGTTGCAAAGTCACAGAACTAAGCTACAATCTTGAAATAGTTAAGTTAGTCTGTGTGTTTGTTATTCTATACAGTGAATTCACACCAAGGCTATGCATGCAGGGAACTGTACATGGCAGTATGTTCTACAGTCAAAAAGCTAGCACAACACCACCATCATTAAAAAAAACAATACTATAATTAGTGGATATTCTCCAGACACAAAGTGGATTCAGTGTTTAAGTTGATTATGATAAAGTGTCCAAATAACAGATGTTTAAGATCTATAAATTGCACCCAAACCCAAAGAAAGCAAAGAAACCTCAGCATCACTGCTACAAAAACACTTATTGCAGAACATTGGTCATTTGTAAGGCATAAAATATCATTGTTATGGTCATCATCATCATCTTCATCTGTCTCATACACAAACACTGTACAACATATACACACTCAGAACATAAAAACATTGGTGTTGGTGCATCCAAAATACAGTAAAACAGTAAAAAGGCATTTGGCTAAGATAATGTAGATAATTAAAACCCTAGAGGGATAGTGAAAAAAAAAAGGAGAAAAATCACATCTTGAATTATTCACATGAATTTCTGCAGAGGCACAACCAACACTGGGACTTCACCATAAATTAAATGCATCCCCAGTTTCTCCAGAAAATGCTACGTGACATTTACTGAATCTGTCCCATATTAAAAGAGAGGTAATAATCTGCACTTCTGGTTTTCATTTGTACTTTAAGTAGCATTTTGTCAAATGGCCCAGTTGGAGGCCGTTCAGCTTGTTGAACAGTAACTGGGCCGAGCACACGTTTCCTGCAAACACACTGGCAGTGATTTCTATTTAGTGCCCCGCTTTCCATTAGTGTTACGGCTAAGGCTAGATGGTTTAATTCTTTTAGTTTAAGGCTCTTTGACTTTTTGATACTCTTGGATATTTTTCAGGGAAGTGAGCCAATGGTACAATGCGGGAGGAAGCTGATGTGGTATCATGGGAAAGGCTTTGTTTGGATGAGCAGTTCCAAGGCAGTTTGTTAAATATTACAGCGTTTAGAATCTTGTACATGATAGAATTGGCCATTTTTACTTATGACCTACAGTAAAGACCCTCCCATATAGTTATACTGAGGCCATACCATATATTCTCCATTATTGCACACTATCAATCACACACATTAAAATATACATAATGTACACACAAAACAGTGAATTCAACAACCTAATTGTTTTCTTATTTTAATATTAATCTCTACTGGTGTTTAGGACTGCTCATGGATGCATGAGCCTTACCTTATAAGTCAAAAACAGCCGTTCAAGCGAAGGACCTCAGTCACAAATTAAAATGACATTACTGTCTGTATCTTTTTCCTTTTTCATAATCTGACAGACAGGGGGGTGACCATGGTTCCCCAGAGTGGGAATCTGTTATACAATGTTCAAATGATGTGTAATATCCCTTTGACACTGATTTACACATTTAAGAGGTGTGAAAATTCAAATAAAATAATTATCAGGAGGCATGAGTCATTTTCAACACAGCCCCGTAATTTTAGGATGACACACATCTTGTGATCAGCAGCGAGATCGAGCCTGTTAAAGATGTGTTATGTGTTATGCTGTTACAGTAAAACATGGCTTGACAAAATAAAACGCTGTACCTGCAGTGATTGAAGGTTAATTGATTGGTTGCAAATTATTCCTCCATCATAATTTAGTTATGATTCAAACTCACTACTCATCAAGTATCAGAGCCATTTATAGTTTGATTAAGTGCTCCAGTGGAAGACGTGTTTGCTCCACAATAACTGTTGATTCTGTGCTCAATGATTATCAGATTTACTGGCCGTTATGATATTTTTTCATTTTTTCTTTTCATGTTTTATAGTGAAATTTGAAAGTTGAACCATATTGTACCTCTGTATCACAATTGAAACACTACTAAAGCACACTAGTTCTCTGAAACAGACCATCTAACAGTAAAATGCTCAGATAAATCCAATGACATCTAATGCAGATATAAACTGTGGCAGCTGCACCAGGCAGGCAGTTCTGGGGCAGTGGAAACTCTGGTTGCACTGGTTCTGGAAACACTGTTATAAGCCCAATGGGGTGTAATGCATCATTTAGTTGAATACACCTCTAACAGCAACCTTTTTATGTACACTACACTGCACTACTTTTTCATCCTGCCATGTAGGAAACATGTTGTCAGGTCAACAAGTTTTTAAAAGCTCAAATAAAAGATATCAAAAGACAGAATTCAAAAATCACCATTATAATTACCCAACAACATACAAACATATTGTTTTTCTTCCACGTTATTTCTTGTGACTGTAAAGTTTTAGTGTCCATTCGCCGTCTTGTATCAACCAATCAGCAGCTTTAATCAGACTTTTTAATGACAGAGCAGTCAGCTGATGCCCTTGTTCTTTCTTTCTCCATGTGGCTAATATATTTTATGTCTCTGCTTCTCTCTGTCTTCTGGTGTTTGAAAGACAGACAGCTACAGGTCATCATCGGGTTAAAGAGGTCAAACTGTCCATGTGATCAATCAGCAAATGGGCAAGCGACCTCTCTCAGACGTCCTGAGGAAGACCCTGGTCTCTGTAGCCTGAGGACATGTGAGAGCGTGGGAGGGCAGACAGAAATGTGGAGATGAAGAAAAGAGAGAGACAGACTTTTAAATGCTTGTAGAAATAACAATTATAATCTGTTATCTGGCTTTTTTGGCCACAAGTGAAGAGCAACATGAAATTGCTAACCATTTATTTTGAACTCCTGACAATAATTGCCTTTCTCCGTTTCATTTAATTGAGCGAAATGAAAGCCAAGAGGCTGGCAACAACCAAAAAGGAGCTTGACTGCAGCATCGGGAGCTAATGCTTTATCAAATATTGGCTTGCGAGGTTTAGCCGTTACCCAAGCACCCAACAAAGAACACTAATCTGACTTGTATTAGAGTTTCAAAATAGATTGGAAACTTTAACTCCATCAGTGATGAATAAGAAACTGAACATTTATAAAGACAGAACAAAACGCTTTGCCTTACTCGTTGTGGTATGGTGAGGATCAACAGGCATTTGGCCAGGACGGGTGTAATTTCAAGTAGATGATGGAGAAGTCTTCCTTTAGCGGCAACATCAAGAGGAATCCCTCCTATTAATCTTTACCTCCTGTTTTTTATAATTAGAATTATAGTTATGCTGTGGAGTTTGTGAGCACTATTTAGCAATGTTTTTAGAGTGGGTCCCACTGGCATATCCACTCATATAAGGCCCCGATGTGAACCTGCATTCGGGTTCAATAAGCGATCCTGCTGATGGAACAGTTGGTAATGGTTGCGCACCAAGAAACGTGCAAAGAATACGACGACCGAGCAAACGTTAGCCCAGAACGTTTGTCCCTTGTGGGTTACTGTAGAAACGTGGTGGTTAAACATGGCGGACTCCATGGCATCAGCTCATTCTGAGGTAACGAAACCATGATTTCTATATTCAAGTGATTATACACTACTGAAAACATTATTTTAGTTATGGATATTATTTTCCATTTGTGCCAGTAAATCCTCCCAAACGTTACACACTGGACATTTTGGGTGTTTTTTAGACCTCATAACCTACATAACCTTTAAGTCCTGATGGTGCTAATGCGTCAACCAGATCCATCTCTGTAACAATTCAGCGTACTCCATCCACTGATGAAGACCATGTGATCGAGTTGAAAGCTTGTCAGCTAGTAAGATTTAGGCTTTGTGAAGATACCAAACATACTGTAATATGTGGCTCCCAAATGAAAGATCATGAGAAAGTTCTTAATAAATGTTTTCCTAAGGATTTCTAAGCCTGGGAAATGGTGGTTATTTGTTTGGCTTACTTGATATAGTTAAATTTAGTAAAACCTGACTATTCACTATTTCTATGACGTGCTCCTACATCACTCGACACAATTTATCAACTGGCTGTGGGATTGTTAGTGAGTAAAACAGAAGCACCTACCGTCAGAAACTTTGATTCAGAACAGAGGGAGGAGAACAGGGGGAGGAGAGAAGAGACAAGAGAAGCAGTTAGAGATGGAAAACATGAGCTTCACTGTTTAATAATTTTCACATATCATCACACAGAAGCTGACTGTAACAGTAACATAAAACAGGCTTCATGGACAGTGAGATACATTTCCACAGAGACTCCTTGTAACTTTCAAGGGAAAAGAATAGCCTCCTTTCAACCTGAGCTGTCCTCACTCTAATTCATATACGTTACATGATCAAATGAACACAAATACAGTAAAATAACCCCAGTTCGCTGGGTCGATGAGCAGAAATATGGAGACAGGAACAGAGGGAGACATGACGAGTAAAAAACTGAAAGCTGAAGAAGAAAATGAGGCGGAGAGGGAGACTGGGGGGCTGACAGAGAGTGGGAGGAATAAAGTGAGAGGGAGAAAGAGAGGGAGCAAGGATACGGCAAGATCAAATAGGAACAATCATTAGATAGAGACAGAAGCAGAAGGGAGGCGATCAGTGGGAGGAAGATAATACCACGATCATTAGATAGATGGAGAAAGAGAAGAGAGGGAGCGGGGTGGAAGAACGAAGGGATGGAGGGGTGTTTGTAGAGATAGAGGTATGGAAATAAAGAAGACATTGATCATATATGCAACACAGGCTCATTAGAGAGGGAAGGAGAACAATGATAAAAATGCCATATTATCAGAATGATTCACTGCATGGAGGAAGAAAGAGGGAACGGCTGCATAAGAGCATAACTCCCAAAGCTACAAAGACATGTACTGTGGTGTTGAATAGTTGAATAATAATTGATCTTAGAAGCTAACAGCATGCATGATTTCACCCTAAGAATCTGGCCTTCGGTGCTAACAGGAAAATGGTTCTCATATTCAATATAAATATTCAATAAGCTGCTAGCCGTGAGCGCTAACAGGAGTATGGATTTTAGCAGCAACAGTTGAATAAGACGTGTGCGCCCACAGGCCTGAAAAACAGTGGGGAGCACAGTGAACAAAAACACACCGGGGAGGGGGGGGGCTGCTCACTCCCACACACACAATTACTGTACCTCACACACACACACACACACACACACACACACAGATCCCTGCAGGCGTGTGTGAACTAACACGCATTTGGTTGCACATGCAGGCAGCAATTACCTCACATAGGCACACTCATACACACACAAAGGAGACAAGGCTGTGGTAATTCAAAGGCTGCCTTGGTGCAAAGAGAATAGTGACTGCGACTGTGTGTGTGTGTGTGTGTGTGTGTGTGTGTGTACACTTGTTCATGCATCAGTGCCTGGAGGAAAGACACTACTTTCTGACAGAAAGGGCGGTCAAATTACCCAACCTCTCCATCTACCTCTGCTTTCTTTCTTTCTTTCTTTCTTTTTTCTTTCTTTCTTATATCTGATGTTTTATTTTTTTTTATTCTATTCAGTATTTTTGTGAACAAATCCGAGGAAAAGACAGATGTTGTCAGAGAGTTTAGAAAACCCCTCCACTCACACCTTTCCAATGTCTGATTATAGGGGTGTTGTGTCCGACCATTCATGTGACTTCCCAAAACAGACAATCCTACATTCACACCCTTCTCACTGTGATTGGGCCAGCTGTGCGGATGTCTAGCTCTCTTTTTTCAATCTTGACACCCTATATTTCTGTCGCTTTTCAGTGCAACACTATGAATGTCTTCTAGGAGAGACGCCTGAAAATGTGTGTCATTATCCCCATATTCAAATGATATCCGGTTTCCTTCTCTCTATGAGAGAATGCCGTTCAGAACAACTATTAACACTTTTATTTTCCGATGTGGTCGGACAACATGTCTTATGAACTAGTTCTGACTCCCCAACCGCTCAGCAAGTCCATTGGTTCCTACTTAAGACAAAGGTCACAAATTAAAGTAAATGTTGGTAAAACAGGAGTAAATAGTGCATTTGTCTGGGACTATTTTTAGCTGCGGATTAATCTAGTGAGTGTCAGCAGGGTGGTCTCGAGGGACTGAGTCAAAATCAATTATAGTGGCCATGTGCGACTATAATAGAGCTCTACACATGCAAAACATGTTACCGGGGTCAGTTCATTGCTGTTTTTTCATTGGATTTGTTGGAAACTAGAAAAATATAGAATATCACCTTATCCTTTGAATATACAATCAAATAACTTGTACAGTGAACTACATATTTAACTATCGTGTGAGAAAAGGCACAAATAGGTCATGGACTGTGACAGTTTCAGTGGCCTTTTTCCTCACATCTCTACAGGCTGTGATAACAGTAGCATTGCAATCTAATTTTCATGTTGAGACATTTTTATTGTTGTTTACTGTATGTCACGTGTGAGACAGACAAACAGAAGAAAATGAGATAGAGAAGACTGAAATAAAAATGAGAGCTGAAGAGAGCAAAAACTGCCAGACAGAAAGACAAACACAGCTCGACAAGTACTGACTCGCCAGGATGACCATGTCCATTCCCCAGAAGATGCTCATGATCCATCCAACCATGATAACAGCTGTCAGTATCTGGATGAGGGCTGCTGCCACGTTGAGCCAGAACACACAACAAACGCCTCGCTCCGAGATCAGATCACTGCGAGCTCCACACAGCACCGTGAACGCTGAGATGAAGGTACCTGTGGGACAAAAACAAGTACACCGTTAAATTAAAAGGTTCGGGCCTGACGTGGTACTACACAGTTACAACAGCGCGATTGGCTCCACAACGTGTTTATCCCCCTGACTTAAAGGAGTTTTATGGTTCATTTCTAATGTAGACAGCAGACTTTTTAATTAAATAAACCAGAAGGGACAGATGCTTGCCTCTGCTGAAAACACGACACAAGTAAATTCCAGGGTTATTCACAGCGGCACCTTGAGCTTAATGCTAACACCAGCTTCCAAATATTCTCATAATGACTGTATGCTAACCAAGTAGTTTTGGGGCCTGAACCAAACCAAACTGCGACCATTTCACAACATTAACGACATGTTTATTATTGTTACCATGACAATAAAGGTCCTTTCCTCCACTTCCAGGGAGAGTGTGTATTTTTGGAAAAACAGGCCTTTAATGCCAGCAATGGGCGTTTGTTTTCAAATGGGCTTTTATCCAATGGGGCATTTTTCAGACTAATGGGGTATTTGGAATCATGCACAATGGCATGGCACCGTTAGCGTACAGTAATTGTGAGCATATTAGCATGCTAAAGCTGGTTCTTTGGGATAACGGACTATTGAAACAAATTAGCTTTTGGTCAAGTGGGACATTTTCTGGACTATTGGGGTTTTGGAATAATGGTGAGTCCCTACGTTAACATGCTGATGTTTAGCAGGTTAAATTTAGCATGTTCACCATCTTAGTCTAGCATTTACTAATTGCTAACCGACGGAAATGTCATTCGTTCTGCAGGTATTGGTCCTAAAACCAAAGTAGTGGATTATCATTGGGACACCGTGGATATCTGTACCAAATTTCCCAACAATCCGTTCAATAGTTGTCGAGATATTTCAGGAAAAAACAAAAACGAAAATGAAAAGTCGGTCGGCTTTGGAGACCACGAATGTCTGAACAGAATAAAACTCTCCACGGACAAAATAACAGGTTCCACACAGTGAGGCAGATTGGCACAGAGATATCTCACACCATCCACTCAGCGTCCCTCAGTTAGTGAGTCAATATTTAAGTGACCGCCGGTGAGTATCTGGCGATGGCAGCAGTGGATTTATGCTTCACAATACAGACAGACACAGACATATCGATGCTCACATCCACAGAGCTGAAAACAGAATTATCTCTGTGGACAATCCTTGCCTGCCTGAATGAAATCCAATATTGCTACTTATCCTGTTATCTGGAGACCCGGACCTTCCCAGACCCCCGTTCTTTGTACAGTAAATGCACTGTGAGTGTGTTGTGTCACACAGAGAAGCGTGTCTGTGTCTCAGTGCAGACAAATCAGGTTATTTCTTTACAGGATGTTTCCATGACAACATTTAGTCAGGGATAGGATATATATAAAATGTGATTTGTATTCGCTGTATCGTGGGTCTACCTCATATTATCAATATTCAGATTTTCTTCTTAGCTATCGTTGTACCAGCCTACAGTGTCTTCTTTGGCATTATTTCACACTGACTCACTAACAAACCACTAGCAGTGTTTGTTTCAGCCTACCTGACATCCACACATTCATTTTTGTGAATGGGACAACTACTGTATACATTGTTAACATTACAGCCAGAAGCCTCACACTAAGTTAACTTTTTTTAAGCCAAAAAATATTTTTGACAGCTGGCTTTTGGATTGTTAACTTAATTAACTTCCGCATTCCCACCTCCCCCAAACTCAGAAACAAGAGGCGTCAACCAAAATTCTTATTAATAGAGACTAAGAAAAAAAGAAACAATACAATTCTGAGAGAAGTACAAAAGCATAATTCCCACATGGAAATCAATTCTTTCCCGTCACTCATCTTATGTGACATTCTTTCATATGCAGCTCTTTTAATAACTCTGTTATCAAATCCTGAGAAGGGACGCCCTTAAGGCAGTTCCCGAGAAAAAATTGCCATCTGGGTCCAGTCTTTCAATGATGGCAGAAAAACAGACAATACCCATTAAATATAAAGATTTGGCCAAACAGAACAGAAATGTTCACTAACATAACTATCTTCATCTCCTGTAAACAATATGTTCATCCCATATGCACCCACATCAAATAATGCACCCAAATACATAACACATAAGAATATCATAGCATATATTTTGTTAGTATTAATTCACAAAGTCTCATTGAGAATAAAATCTCTTAGTGTTCGAGTCCAAGAAATATTTTCTACAAAGTTATTAATTATTCACAGAATCAGCAGAATCAGTTTAGACTTCCTCTCTGTGGGCTATTTGTGCAAATACTGAACTGAATACTGCAAACACTGAATGTGACACAAAAAATGCCCAGTGGGCGTTGAGTGCATCATGGCCTTGGCCCCTTCTCTTTCTGCAAGTTCCACTTCTTGTCACATTGGAGGAATTCAAATAACAGAGCAAGCCAAGCAGGTGGGGGGAGGGAGGAACCAGAACGGCCGCGCTGCCAGCTGCATCTCGTTTCTTGAGAGCAGGGAAAGGCCAAAGTCGACTCATATAGAAGTTAGTTTCTGATCGCTTTTTCCTCTTTCAGTTCGTTTCTCTGTTTTCCCTACATACAGTATCTCTCTTTCTAAATAACCACAAGTTAGCAGGCAAACTGGGAGCTCTGTTTTAATTAACCTTTTCTATGTAAACAGAAACAGAGGCATTCCAGATACAATTTGTCCCATAAACTCTAACAAATTTCAATGTACACCATAATATTTACTTTCACATGGCCTACACTGGCCTTATCTGGAACATGATTCCAAAAAGTCAAACTCTGATACAAGCACAATCCCAGAATAGCAGCAAACCCGGGGGGAAAAAAAGGGCAACGTTTACATGTGTAAGAGGAGAGGAGAATTAGAGATTTACTTTTCCTTTCAAGCTTTTAGCCGATGCTCATTTCAAAGCATCTCACAAGAAAGAGCAACAGTGGGCTAAAATGAGATTCCACCCAAAGCCGATATGGTCTGATCAGACAGAGAAATGTTCAGGTCGCAGAGGCCACACCCACCAGCAGATGCTCTGGCTACTGGTGGAGCTGCCCACCTCCAGACATGAACCATGATTGACAGCAAGCTGGTGGCTGAATGGTTACACATCACTTCCATCTTTGGCACGTGAAACATGATTTATACGGTCTGGATACTTTCAGTTTTTCAGGTCCCAGTCCTGTGTGTTGTGTTCACTGAACCGTAGGAAGAAGCTGTAAACAGCACCACCTGACATATCACCGTTTGGTTGAACATGTTAGCAAACAGTTGCCTCTTTATGGGATGCTTTTATTGTGAAGAAGTTATAGGCAATGTGTTTGTTACCACCTTACCAGTTTTGTCAATACAGGTGACTTTTTTTAACATTGCATGTAGTCCGTTGATCCATCGTTATAAAAATATTGATTATAGCACCTTTGATTTACTGTCAAACTGATAAATCAACCAACATGTCCATTCACTCCATAAGCAGCTTACTGACCCATCACCGGATGTGCGTCTGATTGCTGATGATTTTTCAGAGAAAAGCTGGTCTGCTGGAACTGTTCCAGTTATTGGCATCAGGTGTATGTACTCTCTCATTGTGTATTTAAATGTATTTTTAAACAATAGTTCATGAAACAAAATAATTTGAAACATTTCAGCTGTTGGACCTTTAGAGAATTATCCAAAATCATTTGAATAAAATCTAATTCTACAACCCAGGCAATATCAAGCAGTGAAGAAATTGTATTATTTCAGCTTCTAGCCTCTTAGCACCTTTCAAACTGCCTCTAATTGATCTGAACAAAGCAAACCATCCATCACCTTCCATGAATGTGTGCAGTTGGATAAAAAAAAAAAAAAATTGACAAATAAATGTGCAATTCTTACTGCAATAATAAAAGTTTTTTATCTTTACTCAGTTTGAGAAATCTACTCTAACAATCCTCCATGTGTGAAAAGCTCTTGGATCCTCTGTATGTCGCATGTGGGGGATTGTGTGTGTGTGTGCGCATGTGTGTGACTAGATATTACCCAGACTAATGACCATAATTACACAGAGAACTTTACAAAGCACCCACTGGTAGTGTGGGAGGTTAATGATGGAGTGTAAGAGTGTGAAAGACAGAAAGAAAGAAAAAAGAGAAAAAGAAGAAGACATATAAAGAGACAAAAAAGAAAACGGGGGAAGGGAAAGAAAAGGAGAAATTAAAAGAGAAAGCAAGTTACTACTTTCACTGATTGAAAAGGGAATTCAAATAATTTGCAAAGTCATCAGTTACTAAATTAACTTAAATTACTTTTCAAATTTTACTGGACCAGAAGGATCAAATTCTGATTCAAAGTGTAAAGAAAACTGCCCCAGTGCTCCACATAGCTTCCTGTTACAGCTGAAATGGAACAAAATGTCACCAGTGGTTTAGCCCTTTTCTTTTTCTTTGGCAAGCCTGCTAATCATAACCCACTAACAGTCAGTTCATGAATGTGTCCAAGGCTGCCAAATATCAGTATCATTCATCTACACTTACGTATATCCCAACTCACTGATATTTGCAACCAGGTACTCATTCGTTTTTCAGAAAAAGCCACTCACAGTTGTAAAACACCTATCCTATATCTAGGATTAAAACTGCTCTTTGGCCTTTATTTACAAAGTCAACATCAGGAGTGTACGAGAGATGATACAGAACTGGTCATGAGAGACAATGAACCATCCTGGTATCACACAGGAATGTTTGGACATGACTGCTTCTCTTGGTAACAGCTCTCAGCAGCAGCAATTAAATCAACAATACAGTCATGTCGTGCAGTATGGAGCCCTTTGTAAACCTTTCAACCATGCACAATAAGTGCAACTGCTTGTGTTGATCAGGATACTTAATGTAGGTGGTGATTTCCAGGGTACCTTATTATTATACATTATTTTTCCCAAATCCCAACCCCTCAAAATAAACCCTAAAAATAAACTGCAGGGAGAGTGTATATGTCCAAACAATGTGCCTTTAGAGCAATGGCCAAAGATATTG